CCTTCGACCTCACATACTTTGGCCTTGACGACAAGAGGCAGGGTATCGTGCACATCATCGGACCTGAACAGGGCTTCACGCTGCCCGGCACCACAGTCGTATGCGGTGACAGTCACACATCCACACATGGCGCTTTCGGTGCTCTCGCCTTTGGTATCGGTACCAGCGAGGTAGAACACGTCTTGGCCACCCAGACCATCATCACACAGCGGAGTAAGAACATGAAGGTTCAGGTCGACGGAGAACTCGGACCTGGTGTTGGCAGCAAGGACATTATCCTGCACGTCATTGGCAAGATTGGCACGGCTGGAGGAACAGGTGCCGTCATCGAGTTCTGTGGCTCGGCTATCCGCGGCTTGAGTATGGAGGCGCGTATGTCGATTTGCAACATGTCAATCGAAGGTGGCGCACGAGCTGGTATGATCGCGCCTGATCAGATCACTATCGATTATCTCAAGGGAAAGCCCCTTGCACCCAAGGTCGACAGCCCAGAGTGGAAGAAAGCTTGCAACTACTGGCTTGGACTCAAGTCCGACGAGGGCGCCAAATACGACATTGAGGTCTCGATTGACGCAAAGGACATTGCCCCGACAGTCTCTTGGGGCACTTCGCCACAGGATGTCATTCCCATCACTGGCGTTGTACCTGGACCCGACGACTTTGAGGATGCGACCAAGAAGCTGGCGTGCGAACGTGCTCTGAAGTACATGGGCCTGACTGCCGGCACCCCGATGCAGGAGATTCCCCTTGACAAGATCTTCATCGGATCCTGCACAAATGCTCGTATCGAGGATCTTCGGTCAGCTGCTCAAATCGTTGAGGGCAAGAAGGTGGCTTCTAACATCAAGCGTGCTATGATCGTCCCGGGTTCTGGTCTGGTTAAGAAGCAGGCAGAGGCCGAAGGTCTTGACAAGATCTTCAGTGATGCCGGGTTCGAGTGGAGAGAGGCTGGATGCTCAATGTGCTTGGGCATGAACCCCGACATTCTGTCACCTGGCGAGCGATGTGCGTCAACCTCCAACCGAAACTTCGAGGGCCGACAGGGTGCTGGTGGCCGAACACATCTCATGTCGCCTGCTATGGCCGCCGCTGCCGCTATCGTAGGAAACCTTGCCGATGTACGGAAACTCGCCCCGCAGGCTCCGGCACAGGCTAAGGGCTCACCGAAGATCGAGCTGGACGCTCAAGTCGAGCCTCCCAGCAGTGACGAAGAGTTCGAAAAGATTATGGACCTTCCCAGCTCCGGACCTCAGCACACCGCCTCGAATACTAGCAGCACAGGCAGCGCCTCAGCCGGTATGCCCAAGTTCGAGACTCTTCGCGGATACGCGGCGCCCATGGACGTGGCAAACATCGACACCGACGCCATTATCCCCAAGCAGTTCCTCAAGACCATCAAGCGCTCAGGTCTCGGCAGTGCTCTCTTCCACGCCTGGCGCTTCGAAGCTGGCAGTGACAAGGAAGACCCATCCTTTGTACTGAACAAGGAGCCTTACCGCAACTCAAAGATTCTAGTATGCACAGGACCCAACTTTGGCTGTGGTTCAAGTCGCGAGCACGCACCCTGGGCGCTCCTCGATTTCGGCATCAAGTGCATCATCGCCCCATCGTTCGGCGACATCTTCTTTAACAACACCTTCAAGAACGGCATGCTGCCCATCCGTATCGGAGACGAGGCTGTCCTGAAACGCGTCGCTGACGAAGCGAACGCTGGCAAAGAAATCGAAGTCGACCTTCCCAACCAAGTCATCCGTGCTGCGGATGGAACCGAACTGGCCAAGTTTGAAGTTGAGGAGTTCAGGAAACACTGCCTTGTTAACGGACTTGATGACATTGGCCTGACCATGGCCAACGTCGACAAGATCGAGAAGCATGAGCAGAAGCGCACAGCCGTCTGGCCTTGGCTGGATGGAAGTGGGTACTTGAAGAGGCATGGACGCGGACCGGTCAAGGTCCAGGCGCAACCGGTGCCCAAGACTAACCGTGGAGAGGAGATTACCGAACCACTGGAGTGGTAGAAGGCACAGGTTAGAGGGAGAAAAAAAAGTTATGACCTCGGTCTATCTATCAGGAGTTATCGTTTACATCTGGCGAGCGGCTGCTTTGCGGGTTTTGGATCAAAGGTGTTTCTAATTGGGATGAGATATCACGGATTTGAATGACATATATGATTGAATGACTGTCACAACCGATTGTATTTTAGTTGAATGGTCTGAACATGTCGCTATTATACGTTGAATTTGTTCTTCCGTCAAATCTAGTACACGCGAAACCAGCTTTTGGAAGGTATACACCGCGCGCTATGCCGACCATGCATGGTAATCCAACGCCTAAACACCCAGGAACCCCAGCATAGACTTCCGTAACATATCGATACAAACTCGACTCCTATCAAGGCACACATAGTCTCGATTCTTATCGTCCCTGCTGCCCAGCGAGACCAGGTCCATCTCTAGTCCAACCGCCCTTCCGCATACCCTCCTCGATCCTGCCCCAAATTCTCTCTACAACCTCGCGATCCCTCCACCTACCCTTTTCGCTTCCCGTCCACTTGTCTACGCCTACAGGCAGCACACCCCTACCCAGCTGCTTGACCGTCTCCGGTGGCTCTTCTGAGCTCCAGCCCACAAAAATACCTGGGTAGTTTGCAAAAAGCTCAGCTGGCTGGGTGTACTTGTAGCTCTTGAATTGCCAGAGCTGGCCTGTAGTGAAGATGGCAACTACACGGCTCCAGTATGTAGGCTTGAAACTGGCGGTGGAGTCAACGCAGATAAATGTCAACGGTTGTGAGGAGATGGAGGGGAGGAGACGTTGGATCTGGATCATGTTTGCTGAGGCGGATGTGCTGGACGAGTCTGTAGTATTGGGTGGGATGAAGATGCCGTCGCTCAGGAAGGTTTTTACGTTCGAGGTACGGAGGAGGGACGAGGCGGATGGAGACAGGAGGATAATGGGTTGCAGACGGCGCTGAGTACGCTTTTGGAGGTTCGCGACCAGGGCAGGTTGAGGCGCAGGGATTTTGTTGGCGTCGGGGCGTGAGCGGAGGAATGTACTGGCGATCTTGCGGTAAGATGAGAAGTCCTGGTATGTGTTAGTCTACCGTTGTGACGATATTAACAAGCTGGGTGATACATACGACGTTCTTGGTACCTCTCAGCACGCTGTTGTGGTCTCCCATCTTCCTTTCTCCGTCGTAGATCTGCAGTAACCGCGCATCCACCATCTTGCCCGCGCTCCCTACTTTGGTGCCCCTTCCTCCATCAACTGGAACGCCCTTTCCACCTGCAATCGCCGCCGCATCACCAGCGGCCGCAGCCAGGGCGCCTTCATCTATAGGAGCGATGCTATCACTGCTCTCCGTCTCTCCGCTCAACCAAGCAATAAGCTCAATCTTCTGCGCGAACGTCAAATTCTGCACACTTCCTCCCGCACCACTTGGCAGCTCCTCGTTGATCGTCTGGACAGCGGCGAAGTAGTCGGTGACAGAAGCGTCCTTGTTCAGCCACGCGAAGTAGCAGCTGCGCAAATCAACCGCCTTGCCATCTGGGGCGAATCGCGTGGGTGTGTTCAGCGCAAACACTCTGTGGTCGCCAGAGTCGGTATTGAAGGAGACGTGTGTTGCGACGGAGAGATCAGCGACAGTGTCGGCAGGTGTAGGTTCGGCGCTCGTGGTGAGAATAGGTGTTGCGCTGGCTTTGATGCTCAGGCGGAGGTTGTAGAGCGCGTCTGCGACTTCGGCTTCTGCTGCAGCCATTTTGAAGCGATTGGCGCGTCGTGCGCGTGTGAGGAAGCTGGAAACTGGGGGTGGTGGCTCTTTGGCGTTGATGCTGGGAGCTTGAGTTCGCGACTATGCGATTGCACTTTCGGGGAGGATGCCGGGGTTTCTCCGATTGGAACGTGCCTCGGACTTCCGCTTGCGTCTTCACTCCGCCAGCACAACTATGTCTACAAGTCCATACACTATATCCGTGTTAAGGTATTCTCCCAAGTATTGAAGTCGACGAAACAGCTATCACAGTCTTGATGTCCACTAAAAGCAAGCATTGCTCCAAGAAGGAGCTTGCATCTTCTGAGTCAAGAAGGTACACAATTCAGTCACTCCCTTAGTATGGGACAGTTTCCGCAATAGAGTGATCTCGTCTCTCGCCTCTAATTCTACCCCAGCTTTGTGGTGACAGCTTCTCACGTGCTGCGCCAGATTTACCAGGTGAGAGAGCGTGTACGCGTTCAAAGTCAATACTTAAGCTCCCACACCGGCTTTCAGACCATCACTCATACACCACAATCAGATATATGGGCAACTTCAAACTCAAGCCAAGTACTAATCACGCCGACGCCACTGCAAATCTCAAGGAACCACAGAATACCCACACCACCTTCTGTCCTACCGAAAGCGAGACCATGTCTGCAGTAGTCCTCCCCGATTGGATGGTGGATGCGGCATCAAGCGCCGACAGTGACGAATAAGATGATCAGAATCTCGGACTTCACGCAAAAGACAAATATTCTGCAACCGAAACGATCGATCGTATGATCCGACGATCTGTACAACAGATTGACAAACAAGAATACAACAGATTGACAGACAAGAACTCATGAAGGTAATTGCTAAGGAAACCTCATGCGCCACCAAGCAACTGCTTGATGAGGAGTACTTCTTGGTGAAGCGATGGAGCTTTGGTGGTGATACGTCAACTACAAGTTGATCAGTCTTGTTGGAGATAGATGATGACTATATTTTTATCGCAACGATGTGAACTTGCTCGCTTCGTCTCTGATTCTCTGAATGTTCTACAATACCTTGGAGGTCCGCAAAGCACAGAGCGATAACAGGTAGTCTCTCCATCCACAAGTTTTCTCACCTAGCACAGATTAAGAGGTTAGCACAAAAATAGGGTTGATCTTCGCAAGGGAGGTAGAGTTGAACGTTAAACTTATACATTATCATAGCGTGGTCGTTAAACTAAGATCACATGCTAATCCCTCTTGGGAATATCTATCTACTGGCTGACAACAGTGAAGCTGTCCTGAACCTTCAGGTCACGGCTGCTGAGACCAACCCAGATGGTGAACTCGCCCTCAGGGATAACCCACTGCTGGCTGACAATGTCCCAGTAGCTCAAGTCCCTGCGCTGAAGCTCAAAGGAAACCTTCTGGCTCTCACCCTCCTCAAGGTAGACCTTCTCGAAACCGCGGAGCTGACGGATGGGTGTGCCAGCAGGTGCGGAAGAGGGAAGGCCGACGTAAAGCTGAGGGACAGTGGCACCGGCAACGTCACCAGTGTTGGCAACAGAAACAGTGACGTTGTAGAGACCCTCCCAGAGAGCGGGGTTACCACCGGGCTGGATGGGGAGCTGCTCAGGGTGGGAAGTGATGTTGTGCTCAAGAGGGGAAGACTCAATGTCGGAGATCTCAAAGGTGGTGTATGAGAGACCGAAACCGAATTCGTAGCGGACAGACATGTTCTTGAGGTCGAAGTGGCGGTAGTCAATCTCGAGCTTCTCGTCGAACCAGCTCTGCCAGTCAGCGTATCCAGTGGTGTTGATAGCAGTGGTGGGAGGGGCGTTCCAGTCAGAGCCGTTGTTGGCAATAGTGTAAGGAAGGTGACCAGAAGGGTTGACGTGTCCGTAGAGAATGTCGACGAGCGAGTTTCCAGACTCCTGGCCAGGGAAGTGGGCAGCGAGGATAGCGGTAACGTTGGGGTGGTCAGACCATGGGAGGGTGTTGACACCAGCAGAGTGAGTAACGACGACAGTGTTGTTGCAGAAAGAAGCAACAGACTCGACAACCTCATCACCATCCCAGTCGTTTGAGAGATGAGCACGGTCAGCACCCTCCTCAGCCCAAGTCTTGAGCATGACAATGCAGACATCGGGGATGGAGCGGGGAATGACAAGCTGGCTGACGTTGTTGGAGATGATGTGAGTGTTGTTGAGGAAGGACTGGGTGATACCACCATCAGCAGCGACGCGGTCCTGAATGGCACGGAGAGGGGTGATCATGTAGGTGAATTGACCGGTACCAGAGCCACCACCAGCGAGGAGACTGCCGTACTCGTAGTTCTGCTGGTTGAGGACGGAGCTGCGGACTGGCTCGCCTGCATCGTTACCGAAGACGGCGACGTTGCGAGGAGCCTTGAGGGGCAGGGTACGGTCAACGTTCTTAAGGAGAACGCTGCCGGCGGCACCGTGTCGGCGGATCAGCTCACCGTGGTTGCCACGGACATCACGGCTAACTTCGCCAGTGAGGTTGTACTCGCGGGTCCACGTGCTGCGGGGCGAGAAGGTGTTGAGGTCAGCACCTGAGGGGTCGGCGGAGGGGAAGTCCTGATCTTGGCCGAGCTGGAAGTAAGGGGTCATGATACGCATAACCATGTCGTCGACACGGGACATGTCGAGACTGCCGTTGTTGACAGCAAGAGTGATGTTGCCACCAAAGTAAGAGGGGGTGCCAAAGTTCAGACCGTAGGCACCAAGTCCACCAGGCATGTTCATGTCAAGACCGGCCTCGATGGCAGCGACACCGGTGTGGGTGGCACCCCAATCAGACATAACGTATCCTTGGAAACCAAGCTCAGTCTTGAGCAGACCGTTTTGTGAGGCAGAGTTCTGGCATCCGTAAGATCCGTTGATCCTCTGGTATGAGCACATGAAGCTGGCGGCACGGGCCTTGGCTGCGTTGGCGAAAGGCCACATGTAGAGCTCGTGCATGGTACGGTCATCGATGTTGGATGAGAGAGCTGCAGTAGTTGCCTCTGTGTTGTCGTTCTCGTTCTCGTAGAGGGGATTGCGGAGAATTTCCTGCTCGTTGCCAACCCAGTGCTTTGCGCAGGCTTGCACACCCGCGTCCTGAACACCGGTGATGGTCTTCTCCATAGCTACACCGCTGAGGTAAGGGTCGGAGGAGAATCCTTCCCAGTTGCGGCCTGCGTAGGCGGAACGTCCAAGAGGACCGGCGACAGGGCCCAAGAAGATCTGAGAGCCCTTGGCCTTGAACTCACTACCCATGGCGTGACCACGCTCGTACATGATGTCTTTGTCCCATGTAGCTCCGGCAGATACACCAGCAGAGAAGACGCTGGCGTAGTCGGCAACACGGATTCCAAGAGGTCCATCCTGAAGACACAGACCAGGGAAGCCAAGGCGAGGGATAGCAACGATGTTGCCAACGCAAGGTCCGGCTTGACCAGTGACCATGTCGGCCTTCTCCTCAACAGTGAGCTGGGCTACGAAAGCTTTCGCCTTCTCAAGGCCCATCTCCCAGCCACCAGCGCCAGTGATGTTTGCTGCAAAGTGTTAGATTGATGACCATAGTGAGTGATAGAGGATAACTTACGCGAAGGGTAAACAGGTGGTGAGGAACCATACTCGGTCAAGATAGTAGTGTTGACCGGCTGTACGTACTCAAACGCATCTTCGTCACGGCCGCTACCAGCGAAGTTCTGGGCATTGACTGCAGCCAGGAGGGCAGAGCCCTTGAGCACTGCAGAGACGAGAGAAGGTGCCATGATTCTGGATTGTCGAAGGTGAATCGAGTGCCTGGATAGCCATTGTCGTTCTACACCGCAGTACTTATATACTGCTTCTCTCTCGGCGCACAATCGTCCGTCCGGTGGCAGTTCACGATCCGAATCATACAGCTAGAAGCCAGTGAGGCAGCCACAACCATGTACCGAAGTTTGCCCGTCCGGGTTGCGGAGTCTCCACATACCCGTACCATACCAATGGCGTCCTGGTTTCGAGGCAGACGACGTCATTTCAAGGCGGCATAGCGGTTGCCAAGATCCTGGTCGGACGTCTGTATGCGCGTCGGCAGATGCTTGTGGAGAAAGAATAACGAAGAGGTCGGAGCGGGTTGATTGACTCGCGCGAATCTGCGGGGATCGTGAGTGTAGTACATGACTCGTGACAGCGAGTCGCTTCGAGGCGCTGCAGTCGACTATGCAGGGTTAGCTCTTTCGCGCGTCAAATCCTGGAGGATGCTGTCTCCTCCACGTGCTACGAACCATCACTCTGGAACTGGAGGTTTCATCGACAGAGTATTCTTCGGTATCCGTCTCCGCATAACACATCGGTACACCTTCCATCACGACTCATGCACATGGGGAAACCGCGCAAAATGCGACCATGCACAGCCAAGCTCCACGTCTCCAGGCTTGTCTGTTCATTAGAAAGCGGGGCGAGATCTTGGAAGTTCTGTGTTGCCGACGAAAAGTCCCGACGACCATCGGTAGGGCATCGTCACGAGGTCCCGGATGAAGAGAAATTTTCGGTGCATGGAGCAAGCGTCGGAGCAAGTGGTAAAATTCGGTAGACGCTAAACCGACATCAGAAACGCATCCTTGGAAAACCCCAGCATCGCGACATGGGGATCGCTCCGGAGCTCCACAAGAGACTTCCCCGCAAAACGTTCTGGGCCGAAGTTGAGCCTCAAGTCGAGCGTAGATCGTCAGGTCAAGTTATTGGCAGCATGGAAATTGTCGCATCGCGGCAGCCGAAAACCGTTCTTGGTTAAGAATACCGCATTGTTTTTGCCTATGCGTAGTGGACTACCCGTACGTAATGTTATGAATCAGTGAACAAGACGTTTTCGGGATACTCAATCTGGTATGAGGACTGGTTAAGCATTCAAGAGTTTCCAACTCCACATCGTCCATGTTGAGCCGCTATCGCGGGAACTGTGCCATACTGAGGGAGTGACTGGATCATGATCGCATTCATACGTGCGTACTCAATTGAGCCTGCAGGGAACGACCCTTGCTTTGACATAACGGTCAAGGCGTGCACTCGTGACCTTTCGGTAACTTGCGAGATTTCACATGCCATAGCTTCTCTCCACCGTCTTCTAGTACCGGTCTTGCTTTCATGAGGCTCAAAGACGAGTCATTCGAGAATACCGCTCGAAGCTATAACGGGCCGAAGCCTCCATGGATGTACCAAGGAGACTACATGTACCGAGGCTATGGTCGAACTGCATCTGGACCGTTTTTGTCGCCGTCACGCCTACATTTACAAATATTGTCACCTGAGAAACGCAAGCCAAAGATTTGAACATAGGAATTAGTATTAACTATACTGATTAAATCAAATAACCCAAAGATCTATAGGTACGAAAGAGAACCACACCTCTCTTTAAGACCACCGACTTTATGGAGCTCAAGCGGTGCCAGCATCCTTTTCTCCACTTCGCTCTCCAGGGTGTCCACCCTGTTGCGCTGCCTTGTCCGCACCCTCCTTCGCCTTAGCAGGACCCTTCTTCTTGTGGAAAAGGTTCTTGAGGTTGGCAACACGGAACAAGTAGTAAGTAAGAATAGCAAGGAAAATGTTGAAGCCGATGAAGGCGAAGATGATGCCGAAGTTCCTCCATCGCTCGCCGTAGTAGATGGACGAACCCGCCAAGAACTGGTCCGCGTTGCTCAACGAGCAGTAGTTGCAGCTAGTGGTCGCCTCCGGGTTCTGGATGGTACCGCCCGCGGCAGCAGCGTAATCGGCTAGATAAGCGCCGCATGTCTGGCCAGCCGGTGGGTCGAAGACGGAAACTTCTTGCGCGCTACAAATAACCTGTCGACCAGAAAGCATGGTCGAGACCATTCCACCGATCCAGTACGTGAACGGGCTGACGCGGTACATGAATAACCAGAACCCAGGAAGTTGGCTCGGAGGCTGCAAAACACCGTTGAAGAGGATACTCATGAGTGTGAGAAGCGAGACGAGACCTGATGCTGTTTCGGCATTGGGTAGCGCTGCGATGGTCATGTCGGCAAAGGTGGACGTGTAAATGAGCAGTTGCACGCAGAACAGCAAAACCAAGCCTTGACGTTCACTGGACTGGCTCGCGCCCACGACCGGGTAGTAGAAAGTTGCGAAGGTGAGGATACCAGCGATAACACCGTATGGGATCTCAACAATGACGTTGGCAACCATGAAGGCGATCCAGCTGTAAGCCTTTGATGGCCTCTCGCGGGACTCGTAGAGAGAACGTTGCGTGATGAAGAGGGGTTGGATCTGTTGTACAAGCGATGAAAAGATGGTTGTAAGCATGAAGACCGAGAAGATGATAGTCTGCATGCCTGCAAGTGTCGTGTTGGCCTGGTAGAAGGAGAAACCGATGAAGAGACCAGCGATGGTGCAGAGACCAAACTTAGCCATAACGTAACTGGGCATGCGCCAATATTGCTGGAAAGCACGGTATGTGCACTCCACGATTTGCGTTGTCAGTGGCATGGCGAACTCGCCACCACCGGTCTCCGATGCAATATCGAGGTTTTCATGTTTCTTGGACTCATGGAGTTGATCGATCTGCTGCTGAACACCCTTGGCTTCTTCGCTCGCTTTCCAGACGTCGAACCAGTCCTCACCGTTGTTGTTCTTGCCAGCGTTCACGATCTCCAACATGTACTCAGCCGGGTTCTCATCTTCACCACAGGCACGTGCACCATTGTTCTCGAAGTACTCAAGAAGTGTTCGGGAGTTCTCGCCAAGGTCGCCGAAGTAGACAGTCTTACCACCACGGGCAAGGAAGAGGAGACGGTCGAACTCTTGGAAGAGAATGGCGCTGGGCTGATGGATGGTACAAAGAATGGCTTGGCCGGCATTGCTGAGCTTGCGGAGGAAGGCGATGATAGACCAGGAACTCTGTACAGAAGTTAGCAATCGTCAGCAAGATATATATTGGTGTGGAAATACTGACCTGTGAATCGAGACCCGAAGTGGGCTCGTCAAGGAAGAGCAGCAACTTCGGCTTGGCAGCGAGCTCAACACCAATTGTCAAGAGCTTGCGCTGTTCAACGTTCAGGCCCTCGCCAGGAACACCAACAACAGCTTCGGCAAAGTCGGACATGTTCAGCATCTTGATGACCTCTTCAACGTAATCGTGCTTCTCCTTCTTGCTGACAGTCTTGGGCTGGCGCAACATAGCGGAGAATTGTAATGCTTCGCGGACGGTTGAGGTCTCAAGATGAAGATCCTGTTGCTGAACGTAACCGGTCGAGCGTTGGAATGCGGGGTCGAGAGGCTTGCCGTTAACGAACATATCGCCTGTAATGACACCCATGGTGGTTCGCTGAGCCAGAACATCCAAAAGCGTAGTCTTTCCAGCTCCCGAGACACCCATAAGGGCGGTCATACTTCCAGGCTTGACGAAACCAGAGACATGGTCGAGCAATCGGCGTGGCTCACCCTTGATCTCGATATCGTAGACGACATCACGCCAAGTGAAAACACCCTTTTGTTCCTCAATAGCACTGACATCGCCAGCACCTTCATTCTCACCATGACCGGCAGCTCCAGCTTCCTCATCTGAACCCTTGCTGTAACCAGGTTGCATGTAGGCTGGAACGTGACCACGTCGGAAGACGAGTTGCTCAGCGGTGTTGGATGTGGAAGAGTTGACCTCGACGGCGATAAAGTAGGTAACCAAGAAGAAGATCAGGAAAGCCCAAAGGATGCCGAAGTTGCGCCAAACATGGCTCCAGGAGTACGAGTACGAAACCTCGATGAAGCTATCACCGTTGATAAACGTCTGTCCAGCAACTGCACCCTGAGTGTCACAGATGAACGAGTTGCCATTTGTGGAGTATCCGGGACCTGAAGGGATGAAGCTATCACAAGGGAAGTTGACCCCATGGAACTCGTTGGCGAGGAGGATTTCGAATGCATAGAACTAGAGAAAGTGTTAGCGTTCGATGGTAGAAGAGCGAGCAACAAGCTTACAATGGGATTGATCCATCGGATCCAGCCAAACCAATCAGGCATCTGGGGAATGCGAATAACGAAACCAGTGTAGATAACGAGGATAAGCACCAAGACACCGGCGCCTGCCATAGCTTGCGACGCTGTTTTCGTAACGGCTGCAGTTGTGCGGAAAATAGCTGCCATGACGAAGGTTGCCATATACGTGACGATGAAGAACAAGAAGAACTGTCCAGCGGTGTACCGAAGCTGTGCCAGGAAGTACAAAATGATGTTGAAGACTACAGCCTGTATAAACTTGACAGGTATATCGGCAACAATACCAGCGATAGCTTCGGTCGACGGGTGGTAGAATGCATACGAGTTGTGCTTCTCAACAATAGGGCGCTGGGCGTATAGACCTGAGATTTCACCAATGGACGTAAGGGCGTTGAAGAGAATGGCCAAGAAAATGACTGCTCCACGACCTTGGAACGAGCTGGAGCCATTGGAGTGACCGAAGTAGATGGAACCGACAATGAGAGCGATGACAACGTTAAGACCGGCTTGTGTGGCTGTAGAGGCTACGTCACCCCAAATACGCTGGTACGCTCGTCGTGTATTGAGCTTGATCTGCATAGGGACACTGATGAGGTAGGGAGACTTGGGGCGGGCATGTTTGGCCTGGATGTAGTTCTTCTGCTGGCGCAGTGTCTCTAGAGTGCCGTGCTCGTTGACTGGGTTCTCGGCTTCGAAGTCCTTGATTTCCTCGAGTAGGGCTTTGTACTCGGGAGAGTCGCGCCAGTACTTCTCAAAGTCTTCTGGCGTGCGTGGTACCTTGTTCTCCATACCCTCCCTGGGCTTTCGCTCATCTGGGTTGGTGACGGCTGTGAGGAAATCTCCAGCAGTCTGTCGAGGTGGGCAGTACCATCCTTGACGCTCGAAGTAGGCTTTCGCCTCGCTAGCAGGTCCAAAGTAGATTTGACGACCTTCGTAGAGAACGGCGGCTTTGTCGAATTGGTCGTACACGCTCTGACTAGCCTGGTAGATGGCCACCGCAGCAGCACCTCCAGCCAGATCGGAACCGACCCTCAAAGCCTTGACGAACTTCAGCGCAGTAGCTGAGTCCAAGCCACGAGTTGAGTTATCCCAAGCCGCGAAGGGGGCGCCAGCCAACAACATCTCGGCAACTGATACTCGCTTCCTCTCTCCACCAGAAACACCACGGACGAAGTCGTTTCCAACCTTGGTGTTGTAGGTGTGACTCAGTCCAAGCACGGCCATGACGACCTTGGCCATGAACTGTGAGAACTCGTCGCGGGTAGCTCCACCGGGTCGGTTCGATGGTGTTCTGACAGCCGCAGCGAACTCGAGAGTTTGGCCTACAGTCAAATGAGGGAAGTGCTTGTCGACTTCCTGATTGTATACTGTCTCGCCCTTGAACTCTTTGCGCATGCGCTCTTGGGGAATGCCGTTGTAATGAATGAGTGAGTCATCTGTCTCCAGACCATGAAGCTCACCAGTGAGAGCCTTCAGGAGTGTTGAGCAACCAGATCCGGGACGTCCAAGTACTACACAAAGCTCGCCGGCTCGGATGATACCGTCGAAGCTGTGGAGAATCTGCTTGCGTTCTGACTTGCCGAAGATTTCCTTCGCTCGGAACGGCATCATGAAAAGATCCGCGACGGTGTCCTGGAGTTGAAGAGCCTTACCGGAACCGAAAACGTTGAGGTTCTTGTAGACAACGTTGACTTTCTTCATCTCGATACCCTCACCTTCAAGCTGGTTCCGGAACATGTTCAGGAACTTGCTAAGATCAAAGGCCTCATTGGAGGGGTCCACTCGTGGGTCATTGGGCTGCGCAATGCTCATCTGCTGTGTCACTCTCGAAGCTGATGTGAAGATGCGCGCCAACTCCCGCCTGCCATCGTCGTCGATTTCAGGGCGGGTGGCACGACGTTGAAGCGTGCCTCCAGCCATATCGTCGGATGAAGATGAAGTAGCGGTTCGCTTTACTTTTCGCGACTCCCCATTGGATCCGAATTTTGTTTCCGAAGAGTCGGATGAGCTTGATGTGTTGACTTTCTCGAGAGGCACAACCTCCTCTCCTGTAGGATGAGATTGGGACGCTTCGGTGGAAGAGAACAATCCATGTCCTGCCGATGTTGATGTTTCTTGTGTGTAGGAGTGCGATGAGAAGAGTCCGTGGTTGCCATGAGCATGGCCATCGGGAAAGTAGGTTTCGCGGCCAGAAGCGGTTCGAACAACACCGTGGGCAGGAGTCTGAGATTCTGACCCTGATTGGGCAGTATTGTGGGTTTGTGTTTGATGAGAGTATGACGTATCCGACATGTTAGCCTCGCCGTTGGACTTGAAGTCAGCCATGGTGGGTTGCAGCGGCGAGTGCTGGCGTGTAATGTCAACGTCGGTGTTGTCTTATTTTGCTGACCACCTGCGACCGTTCAACATATATCAACTCCTAGACAACGTTTGGACCTATGTTGTCATAGCACCCCGGATGGCGGACACTCCCCATGCCCGCGACTAGTCCTGGCACCATCGCCTCGGACGAGATGCTTGGACCGTTTGAGTAAGATTCGTCCTTCACCGTAGTAGATGATTGGGAGCGTGCGCGCGCTACACGGGCCGAATTCGAAGTGTGCGGATCCACGTTCAGTGTGCTTGCGGCGTGCTGGTTCGAGACCGCAATTAGTCTTACTATACTGGGCGCCCAGTCAAGAGTCTGCTTTTTTCCTATGTTCAACATGACATCACAGCCCGGACGGCGGCGGAAGCGGAAGCAGCCAAGAAGAAGCCACCACAATCATAGCATTTAGTCGAAGCAGGATATATGGCCACCATCATGGAGAAGCCAAATCTACTCAGTATGCGCGGTTGTTGCTTACTTCTACAGGTGGTGATGCTGGGTCGCATCTGTCGTCCAACGCTTATTTTGGTCCGCGATCGACAGCTTACTACTTCCGGACGAGGGATCGCTCGGGATGCTCTATTACGTCTGCCACGCTTCTCGGTACCCGCCTTCCATTGTACAAACCCTTGCTGGCATCGCTGGCCATCCGGATGGTCCGAGGACGTCCACTCTGTGTTGTACAAGTTCCGGTGATTTTCTGTCTGTTGAGTTCCATCCATTTTCCACTTTTCGGTCGTAATCTGAGGCGGTGCACAACGGTCCCCCGAGTAAGGATTATCTCGGACGAATGCAACATCCGCTTGGCATAATCAAGTACACGCGTATGAACAGTCATGGAGCACTAGGGCAATTTTACTTGCTTATCTCAGCGTCTACAGAACTCAATTGTTTCTTGGGAGGTGATAAGGCAGGAACCTCCTACAGGTCCTAACGGCGCGCGCACGGTACTGACAGCGATCTGCATGCACCAGCGGTGAGGTTTAATATAAAAGCTGGGAGATAGAGTTTCAATGCTTCATTCCTGTCATGGAGAATTGCATTCGGGCATGAACATTCATGTGGCTCGTCTGCTCGAGATTCCATCGAGATCTCAGTACGCTTAGCGGTTCAGATGACCAGACGCACACGATCTTGAGATCCGCACACAGAACATCGTTTGTGCATGGATGCGCATCAAGCTCAAGATCGACTACATGCATTATGTGCTAGATATGTACACGATAGTGGATGGAGGATCACCATCGCGTCGCGCATGAGAGTTATTGGTGCATCTCGACAACGCTTCCGCAAGATAAGTGGAGTGCGTCTGTACTTGAAGCTTGTAGAACGGCAGATTCCCAAACTAAGATGCTTGGTTTCTGAGTACTGGTAAGTTGATTACTGAACAGAAGATTAGTTTGGTTTCGATCAACAGGTATACGAGCAAAGCACAAACCTTATTGATGGTTTTGCAGATTTAGTTCGCCGTTTACCGCTTCTAACGCTGTTGCTCTCATGTTGGTGGGCCCGTTTTCTTTCTTTTGGATGTTCTGTCGCATCCGCCCTAGCTTACTTCAATTGCAGCCCCTCGAGCTTATGCTCCACGATGGGTATGTGCTCCGCCAAGCGGTTGGGGTCTCGCATTATCGCAAGCACATCCTCTCTTCTTCCTGCGAGCTTCTTTCTCACATCCTCGTACTTCTCCTCCCTCGCCGTGTATTCTCTGAGCACCACATTGTCACCAAACTCGACAAATATCCGAGTGTCGCGTATCCTGAAGATAACATCGTCCAGACGCATGAAGAAGCGCACAAGTAATAGTAGCCGTTGCGGCATGACGCGAATCTTGCAAGATAGCATGGCAATGCCGTTGTCCGCTAGTTCGTCTTCGTAAAGCACTAATTCGTCGAAGAAGTGTATAGGGTCAGGTCGCTTGAGGAGAGCAAGTGGTATGGGAGTCTCGGTAGGCTCGAAGGCAGGTGTTGGCGGTGTGGTGCCCTTGTAATCTGTGCTATAGGACCAGTCGAACGGCTTGACGACTTCCTTGATATCCTCGAATTGCTTCTGTCTGGGAGCTGTCAGGCGGGCATTCAGAAGGCATCGTGGTATAAATCCTCACCGGTTCTGCTGCCACTCTTTGGAGTATGACACCTTGAACATCTTGTCGCCAGTCTTATCCACCAGATCCAGCGCATCGAAGGCATTGAACTCGATGTACCAGCCACTCTGTTCATGTTCTATCCGTACCATGTTGTCGCCGAATATCATCTCAGGCGGCGCAATGCCCAGCTTCTTGGTCATGTCTTCTATAGGACCGGCCTTGAGGATGGGCAGTTTGCGCGTGGTGATGGTGAAGCCTTGCTTGGTGATGGACGTGTCGGCGTGGCCAGGTGCCACGGTATCGGCGGGCGCTCCGTTGAGCGATGCCATATTATGAGATGTATGCGACGAGACCCTTTTGAAATAATGCAGCGAGGCGAGTGACGGTACGGATTCTTCTTCCTCTTCTTCGCTGCCAGCTGCAGGTGGGCCCGATGGCGGGGAGCTTCTTTGGAGTGGGGCGCGAACGAAAGCTCCGACCGCCGATCGCCGTCTCCCATAGCAACGTGTGAAACCCACTTGTTTGTGGTTAACTAGCTGGCATGCCGTCCCTGAACCTTGAACAACCATCAACATAGCATTCCATAATACCCTTGGGCACGTCTTTTGCTGCCGTACTGCCTGCTTCCTGTCGCTCCAGCCTGCATCTCGACATCGCCATGGCCGACGTTGCAAACCTCGAAGCCGCCTTTGAGCGCACCACCATCAACGATGAGAACGATGACCAGGTCGCATCCACGACCACCACTACGACCTACCACAAGGCAAAGGTGTGCATCAATTCGTCTGTCGTGTAGAGCTACTTCTAACAGAGTCAAAGTCTTCGGCAACCACATCCGGCCTGTCGTCGTCACAATCAGCTGCAAACCGCATGAAGCTGCCCCATCAGATTCCATTACAGAAGCTTGCCACACAAAACGCAAAGACGGCGAACATCGCCAAGGTCACCATCACAGCAAGCACCAGCCGCCCCTCAGAACAAAACCCCTCTCACCGCCGCACCCTTACCGAGTCAGCCATCTACACCGCTCCTTCAAACCCTGCACAACCCAAACAATGGCATCTGGGCATGTTCGAAATCGGCAAGCCCCTTGGAAAGGGAAAGTTTGGTCGCGTCTACCTCGCCAAGGAACGGTCGTCAGGCTTTGTGTGCGCTTTGAAGGTCCTCCACAAGTCCGAGCTCCAACAAGGCAAAGTCGAGAAGCAGGTCCGCCGAGAGATTGAGATCCAATCACACCTCACCCACCCCAACATCCTCAAGCTGTTTGGTCACTTCCACGACGCAAAGCGCATCTTCCTCATTCTCGAGTTTGCCGGCAAGGGAGAGCTCTACAAGCACCTCCGCAAGGAACAACGCTTCCCAGAATGGAAAGCAGCACAATACATTGCCCAAATGGCCGCAGCGCTCAAGTACCTCCACAAGAAGCACGTCATGCACCGCGACATCAAGCCCGAGAACATCCTCGTAGGCATTCACGGCGAGATCAAGATTTCTGACTTTGGTTGGTCGGTTCACGCACCCAACAACCGCCGAAACACCATGTGCGGAACTCTCGACTACCTGCCCCCGGAGATGCTTCGCGGTGGCGGCAAGGACAACTACTACTCCGAGAAGGTTGACCTGTGGAGTTTGGGTGTCTTGACATATGAGTTCTTGGTCGGCGAAGCGCCTTTTGAGGACACACAAGTCATGACACAGCGCAAGATTGCGAGGGGAGAGTACACAGTCCCAAGCTTTGTCAGCGCAGAAGCACGGGATCTCATCAAGAGACTCCTGGTACTTGACCCTGAGAAGCGTATCGCGCTCGAGGATGTTGAGGTACACCCGTGGATCGTGAAGCACTGCAAGGGCAGCCCACGAGCTTACGAGCGTACCTCTGGGGGCAAGATCCGCAGCAGCTCAGAGCAATCTGAGGAGAGCTACTAGACTTGTTCTTGGTCTTCATTACATAATGTCTAACATTTACGACGGCGAAAGGGCGTTCTGCACGGAAGTCATTGATTTTTTTTTCTTAGTCGCGCTTATAGTCGCATTGCTTGGAGTCTTCGGTTTGCCGTTGGCGTTTGGTATATTCATGGGTATACACCCCACATCGCATGCAATGCAAGCATTTCAATCTTCATTCTTGACCCATGTCTATTTGCCATCTACACGCTATGAAGATACCCGCCTCAATGCGCCTCGACCATCTCACTCTTCTTTTCTCCATGCCTAAAGTCGGGCGTGCTAGGTCTACTCCTCTCGCCCCCAAAGAAAGCGATGTTCTCTCGCAACGCCACATACTCACTATCTGCATAACCCAACGCCTCACTAATTTGCGTTGAATGGAGGCCTTTGATTCTCCTAATTTCGGTAGCTGAGTAGTTAACTACTGCTCGCCCAATCTCAGTCGGTGCTGGGTTGTGCAGTTCGTAATTGGGTGGGTGCTGCAGTGTCTGCGAGGAACTCATCGAGTACGATGATGACGATGAGTGCGTAAGGGGATGTCGAATTGGAATTGGGGCGTGTACGCCGTGTGCTAGAGCGCCAGGCGTTGTAGGTGGTTGCGGGGTTGTTGGCGATTGCACTGGTTTAGGAGAATGTGATGTGTTGGATAGACGTTTGACAACGACGATGCGTACGGCTTCTTGCTGGGCGAAGTGGCCATCTACTTCTACGATGCCGACAGGTAGTAGTCCAGCTTTATCGCTCAACGCAGCCCATGCACCCTGGTCGATGTATATTGTTCCGTGGGGCGCAAGACCGTGCAAGATCCAGAAGTAGCGGTCGCGGATTGGGTTGGATATCGGGAGGAAACGGGTGTGTAGGGGCACTGGTTCTTCTGGTTTGTGCGATGCGCTTCCAGCGAGCTGTTGGTCGCCCAGCGAGGCTGTAGATGCAGAGAGATCGTGATTTGAGTCTTGCAAGGCTGCTTGAGCATGTACTGCGCCTTCTTCCTGCAAGTTGGTGACGGAATTTCGACTTGACATCCTTGCCTTTCTTTGTTTCTCTGCGTGCGCAATAATGCCCGAGATGTTGCCTGGTTTACTACTCTTCGTGATGACTGTCGTGACACCCGCACTTGTCGCCAACCTTGCTGCTACGATCTTGGTGCTCATACCGCCTGTTCCCAGGGAACTGCCGGCCGAGCTTACATCTGCTGCCAGCTCTGCAATATCTTCCACAACAGCAATGGATTTTGCGTCTGGGTTGGTGCGCGGATTCTTATCGTAGAGACAGTCCACATCCGTCATAAGGAAGAGGTAATCCGCCTGGACCATACCCGCAGTTATAGCACTCAATGTGTCGTTGTCACCAAACTTGATTTCTGTGACGGCCAAAGTATCATTCTCGTTCACAATAGGAATGACACCCATGCTCAGGAGTTCAATGAATGTATTCTGCGCATTCTGGTACTGTGTTCGATCGGCAATGTCGTTTCGCGTCAACAGCACCTGAGCAATTGGTTGCTCCAAGTTGCCAAATAGCTGATCCCATAGCGACATCAATCTGCTTTGACCGATAGCCGCAAGCGCTTGGACTTGTGGGAGGTGTTTTGGACGTCGTGGGAGATTCATACGTCGTAAACCCACACCAATGGCACCAGAGGATACGATTACGACGCGGTGCCCGGCCGTGCGTAGGCTGCATGCTGTCTCGACAATGAGGGAGAGGATGGAGAGGAGGGGCTGATGTGTTTTTTCGTCAACTATGGATGAGGTTCCTGGTTGTGTTGGTCAGGTGCTCTCTTCTTTTCGATGCGAAATAAGTACTGTTCTGTATTTACCGAGTTTTATCACGACGGTGAGTTGGCCGGGCTGCTTGCGCATATGGACAGCCATTGCGAAAGAGGGTGTGATGCAATGGCGGCAGGCGCAGATGTGGGATAGTCAAGAAGATTGTAGGAGAGAAGGGACCGCCGAGATGTAGTTGGAGCTCAGCGCTTCATCACATAGACGCCGCTCTTTATATTGTTGCGCAACTGATGACTGGAACAAGCCCAAGTTTCCCTCGCAAGCGATCTTCGGGCTCCCTTGCTCGCGGTGACGTCTTCCCTCCGATTGGCTCCCCGCGCTACCAGCTCCTTCCCCATCTCCACCTAAACTTTTCGCGACGGGAATTGAGACCACGCCCTACCGTAAACATCGTTGTACGTCACGCCACACATCTGCGCCCTTCACTCCGGTCACCGAACTCCAAAGTTGCACACCGCCGAACCATACCATGGCAAACCCCGAGACGGCGCCCGATGGCGCATCCCTCTCCGCCATGGCTCAACCACCCCCTCAGAAGATCGACCCCGTATACTACACATGGAGCAGTACCTTCAACATAATGCTCGGTCGCATGACAGGCTCTCGAGACATCGAATTAGAAAAGGGCTACTTCAGCGAAATGGACAAGATAAAAGCAGACTCGATATGCAAGCGATGCGAGTCGAACAAGGAATACCTATTACAATACAGTCCCATTATACGCTTCCTGTCAGATGAAGTATACAAATTGGGAGGCGATCTGAACAAGGACAATATACTGTGCCGCATGTGCACGAATGAGCAATCGGGCGGTTTCTCCCTCGACCATGGCATCCTCCTCTGCGCCAACAAGTTCCGCAATCGCGGACATCAGGAAGACACCATGGCGCACGAGATGGTTCACGCGTGGGACCATCTAAAATTCAAAGTCGAGTCCGAGAACCTGCGACACCAGGCTTGCCTTGAGATACGCGCTTCCACACTCAGCGGCGAATGTCGTTTCTCTAGAGAGTTCTTCACACGGAACCAGTGGCGCATCACCGAACAACTACAATCGTGTGTTAGACGGAGAGCGACATTGAGTATGATGGCTAGGCCAGGCATAAAGGACCAAGAGCATGCTGGAAAGGTAGTCAACGAAGTATGGGATAGTTGTTTCCGGGATACAAGGCCATTTGACGAGATATATCGATAATGCAGACAAGTGAGAGATGTGATTGGTCGGTTCGTACGATGTACTATAACGGTTGTACTACCCTTGTACGTGCGCATAGCAATGGCGTTGATAAGGGTGCTGGGATTTTCAGGTATACTAGAGGGCGTGGTGTTGTCCAATATTTCTTCTCCGCTCAATTGACAACTTAGGCCTTAAGAGAAGTTTCGCGTATAACCACTTTGTCGAGCTGTTTCCTTGAGGAGAAGTCAGAAGTTGTTGTTTTTGGCCCCCAATACTTGATTAGGCGGTGGCTGCCCAAGCGAAGCGCGAGGCGTATTCCCACCCTGTCAGTTGGTGCTCCGCCGCAATGTTATGATGAGGCTGGACACAACATGGACGCCTTGAAACACGCAGACTTTATGGGTATATACAACATGGCTAGAAGTACCAGGACCCGTACCTCTTCCCTAACCAGCCCCGATATCTCAAATCTCGTCATCCGCTCCGGACTCCAATTTTAACGTCCCTTCAAAATGTTACCACACACCCTACTATGTCTTCTCTTTGTCGCAACATCCTCCGCGGCTTTTATTCCACCGCCACCGCGACCCATCCCAAGACCTATAACACCAGACGAACCCTTCTCGCCTATTGTGCCCAATGAACCCCAAGTACCAGCAGCAAGACCAAACCGGCCAGAACCAGAAGTACCAGAAACACCTGACGCACCTGACAACAACTCACAAGATTCAAATACAAACACGCCGGCGGGGTTATTTGTCCCGTATCCAACTAAAACGGCAACCTTGTCACCTGCAGAGGCTTGGCAATCCTTTCTTGATTCGACAGCAACGGCAACTTCTACAACAGGATCTGGCTCTTCTAGTACGGCGCGGGTAAGCAAAACGGCGAAGCACTCTGCTTCGTCGACATCGAGTGTGACGGCGCCGGTGGAAGGAGAGGCAGCTAAGATTGAGGGTATGGGTATGAAGCTATGGGTGGGTGTGACTGGCTTTGTGAGTAAATCGATGAAAATGATGTATAAGGTTGATGGACTGATTGTTGGTAGACGATTGTGTCAGCAATGGCGGTTGTCTTTTAGGGACATCAAAAGTGACGAAGACGGAGACCATGTCTGCACTTGCTGTACGTGTCTCACGTCTCGTCATATCTGTTGTTTGCCAGGTTTATATGAGGCTTTCTACTTCCCTGCCTCCTTCCCCCGTTCATCAGCTGCTTTGCAACATTCAAACAAACTCATGCGCACTTAGCCATGGAACCTGAGCCCCTACGAAGACTCATGTCTGCCAGAAGTGTGAAAAGTGTGGATCATGTCAGTTCTGCTCATTCTCGAGAATGAAGTTGAAGACTTTGTCAAGCATCGAAAAGAGGACATGATTCACAGGTCGTGGCATCGCAGCTGGTAACTTTGGAGGAGGGTGGGTCTGTTCTATGGTGTTTTATGCACCCAGACCTTCATCGTGCAGCAACACAGTCTCCAACGAGTGTTCAAAAGCGGAGTTTTTGTTGTCTCGAGATGCCGAAATGAGCAGGCTGTGTTCTTCTGGCCTCACTTGGCAAGATTCTCTATGGAGGTTTTGATCGACAGAAGTGGATATACGTTCACATCTCGCAACGCGCTCCGCAGATGTTTTGGAGTGTCTATGCCTGTGTGTATAAAACCTCTCCTCTTGTCATCATCGACCGTCACCTCGAATACCTATTCAATGTTTGATCATACTCAAGATGTGGTCTTGCATGTGTCATGATATATCGAAGTCTTTGTTTGTCCTTCTCAGTAAGCAACCGATATCAAGGCCTGTTACGCAAGATTGTACGTGCGGCATTTAGTTCGGTCCGAAAGTTCTCGAAAAGGCGTGAAGGTATACTTCCGGGACTTTTGTATGACTTATGATCTGAACAAGTGCGACGCGTTCGTATATGCCGACTGCGGCTGAGATACTCTTAGATATGAGCTACGCTACCTTGCGTGATTCCTGTATCAAATTGAATGATTGCAGGATAGCTTGCGATTT